TGAAGAATTCAAAGTCACCAAAATATATTTGAATGAAACTATTAAAAAATTAACTCCCCATGATGACACAAATTATAAGCTCTATTTAAAAGAAAGGAAAGGGGCACCTGGGTGGCTCAGTAGGTTAAGCATCCGACTTCAGCTCAGGTCATGAGCTCGCAGTTTATGAGTTTGAACCCCACATCAGGCTCTGTGCTGACAGCTCAGAGCCTAGAGCCTGCTTGGAAATCTTCGTCTACCTCTCTCTCTGCCCCTCCCCTGCTCACACTTTGTCTCTCTCTCAAAAAAATAAACGTTAAAAAAAATTAAAAAGAAAAGAAAAGATAAACTTATGTGTGACCAGGTCATGTAGGTAAAGTATAACCCTGAACAGAAACAAGCTATATTGGCAATACTGTGACTTGAAAGAAATACAGTGAAGGTTATTTTATTTTTAAGCTTAATTTTTTTTTTTAATGTTTATTCATTTTTTTTGAGAGACAGAGAGGGACAGAGCATGAGCAGGGAAGGGGCAGAGAGAGAAGGAGACGCAGAATCCGAAGCAGGCTCCAGGCTCTGAGCTGTCAGCACAGAACCCGACACACGGCTCGAACTCACGAACTGTGAGATCATGACCTGAGCTGAAGTCGGGCGCTCAACCGACTGAGCCACCCAGGCGCCTCTATTTTTTAAGTTTCGACATAATTTTCTCAGAGTATTGTTCCTTATAATTAAAAGCATTTTAAATATATGAGAGTAATTCCTTTCAACTAGAAAGATCTTTTACTTAAATTTTAATTCATTTTTGAGCAAATAATTATTAGTACTCCCATTCCTCAAGAACCATGCAGGACTAGGGGTATGAAGTTGGCAATGGATGGAGGTTCTTACCTTTAAAGTTCATGATCTAGTCAGAGTGAGAGAATTGGAAATAGATAATTACTGCAATAGTGCTTTATAGTTAAGGCTTATATTAAATATAAGTAGTGCTTTTTAAATTATTTATCTGCCTTTAAAATATTAAATGTAATTAAAGAAACGTTTGAGTCTTAGAATGATTTCTTAACACAAAAGAGAAGATTTCTTCTAGAGCTTATTTCAGTCTATTGATGAGAAAGCCATATAAAACCATTTTGTTATGCCATAATTAGAGAATTATATTAGGAATTACTTTTCTCAATTTAATTTTCCTTATATCTTCTAGAAATATCCTGGAGTTTCCTTAAATCTGAATATCATTTAAAATTAGCTTCTACAAAAAGTGGGTCATTTTATTTATTTTTGATTGCTTTGTTTTGAAATAATTTTAGACTTCCAGATAAGTTGCAAATACAGAATTCCCATATACCTTTAACATGAAGGTCTTATATAACCATTGTACAATGGTGAAAACCAAGCAATTGATGTTAATACATGACTGTTAACTAACTACAGACCTGATAAGAATTTCACCCATTTTCCCACTACCGTTGTTTTTCTGTTCTGTTTTTCCATCCAGAATTCCATACTGTATTGAGTCATCATGTTCCTCCTTAGTATCCTCTGATCTATGACAGTTCCTCAATCTTTTCTTATCTTTCATGTCTTTGACACTTTGAGGAGTCCTAGTTAGATATTTTGAGGAATGTCTCATTTGAGTTTGTCTGATGTTGTCTTGTGATTAGATTAAGGTTATGTTTTTTTTTTTGGTTTTTTTTTGGCAAGATTGCCACAGAAATGATATGTCCTTCCCAGTGCATTATAAAGTTGTCTGTTGTCTTTTTACTGGTAATACTGCCTTGATGACTAATTTAAAGTGGTGTCTGTTGAGTTGCTACACTCTAAAGTTACTCTTTCCCTTTGAGATTTTAAGTATTTGGGGGGAGATACTGTGAGACTATTCTGTTTCTTTTCAAGCTTACCTCTGCTAATTTTAGTATCCATTGGTGGATCTTGCCTATAGGCAACAGTTATTTACTGTGGTGTTCTAATGGTAACTTTTTATTTTCCTTTTTCTTACTACTTTTATTACTTGGAATTCTTTAAGAAAGAGATCTCTCTCGCTCTCTTTCTCTATTACTTACTTATTTATATCACTATTCACTTATTTATATCAATATGAACTTGTGAATATTTATTTTATTCTATGTGTTATAATCCCAAACTATCATGATTTATTTTGTTGTTCAGATAGTACCAGAATTGGTCATTAGTAGTTCCTTCAGGTTGGCTCCTGTGTCTTTTCAACTGGCTCCCACTTTGAGAACATTTTTACTTTCTAGCACTAGAAGCCCAAATTGATCTTGTGGTTTCCCTTCTCCAGGCCTGGAATCAACCACTTCAGGGAATTCTTGTTTTCCATTGTATTTAGAAACCAAGATCTAGGCACTAAGTCAGTCTTTTTATTTTGATTCTAATAATTTTAGAATGCTATTAGGAGCAATTTTGTATTATCACCATCTTGTTAAAATGCTGAACAAAATTTGCTTTTAGCCCCTATCTGTGATGCGTTATAAATTACCTTTTTCTTGGAATTGTATTTCCTCTAAACTTACTTGATCTTTTTAAATTGACTAGTATGTATAATGTTAGAAAAATGTTTATTACAGAGGCGCCTGGTGGCTCAGTCAGTTAAGCATCCAACTTTGTCTCAGGTCATGACCTCACGGTTCGTGGGTTCGGGCCCCACATCAGGCTCTGTGCTGACAGCTCAGAGCTTGGAGCCTGCTTCAGATTCTGTATCTCTTCCCTGCCCTTCCTCGCTCGTGCTGTCTCTCTCTCTCAAAAGTAAATTAAACATTAAAAAAAATTATTTTAATTTATTATGGAAGATTTGTGAATTTTAAGCCTCCCTGAATATATGTCAGAACTTAGCCTATCTTCCCAGGTGAAAGATATTCCATGGTTAGAACTATATAAACTTTGGGAACAGATCCAAAAGTTCTCATAAGCATTTTTATAGTAAGATCATCACGTGAAAAGAAGTTGAAAGTGATATTTGACTTTGGCTCTATAACTTCATACGTCATCTGAACCAATTCAAGAAAGATTTCTTGATTGAGCTATATGGCTGCATATCTGGCTTTTTTTTTTTTTTTTAAGTTTATTTTATTTTGAGAGAAAGAGAGAGAGAATGAGCAGGGGAGAGACCGAGAGAGGAAGAGACAGAATCCTAAGTAGACTCCTCACTATCAGCACAGAGCCTGACATGGGGCTTGACCTCATGAACCGTGAGATCATGACCTGAGCCAAGATTAAGAGTCAGACGCTTAACTGACTGAGCCACCCACACACACATGCATATAATGCCCCTGAATTATAAAAGCCCCTGCGTATCTGGCTTTTATAAGACACTTTATTTTAATCCAGGACTAAATTATCTGAGCATTATGGCAACTCTGGATGGTTTGGTCTTTTGAATATTATATGCTATATCTAGAAATTTAATTTGTCAACAAACTTAGAA